GGTCAGAGAAAAAGAGGAAGACCCCCAACGAGATGGATCAGCCAGGTGACATCATTGATGGAGGAAGACCTTCAACGAGATGGATCAGTCAGGTGACATCATTGATGGCATCAAGTGTGGCAGCGGTAGTGAGGTTGGCCCAGGATAAGACATTGTTTCGTTCTGCTGTGCATGGGGTCGCTATGAGTCGGTTCCGACCCGATGGCACCTGACAACAACAACAAGTCTGTGCAGGGTCGCTATGAGTCGGAACCGACTCCACAGTACTTAATAACAACAATAGTCTTTATAACAGTGACATAAAGTGGGTCCTATTATTATCCCTATGGTTTAGCCAAGGAAATCGAGGTTAAGAAAATGAAAGCCACGCAGACAGGGACCAGCAGAACTAGAGTTTGAATCCACATTGGTTTGATTCCAGAGTCCATGGTAAACTGTGGCAGATGTCTGAGATGGTTCTGTGAGAAGTTAGTTGGCACAAACACATAAAATGTTGGCTTACGGATAGTCAGAAAGCTAGTGGAGACAAACGGATGGTCAACCTGGGGTTAATCTACTGTTTGCTGCTGATAATAGACAACTACCCTCTTGGTTCCTGTGAGTCATGCATGAAAAGAGAAGTGGTGGGTCAGTCGCAGCAATTCCAGCTATCCCATTGGATACTCCAGACATGTGAGTGACGAAGCCACCATGGTTGTTCTAACCCCCAAAGACATCATCTGGGGCAGGAAAACCACCCAGAAAACTCCAGCCTCCCAGGCAGGATTCTGAGAATTGTAGGCTGCAACCACTAAGTTCTGGGGTGCTTTCCTATGCAGCATAGATAGCTCTGTCATTGTTGTTGTGGTTAGGTGCCATCGAGTCGGTACCGATTACAGCGACCTTACGCATAATAGAACGAAACACTGCCTGGTCCTGGGCCAATCTCACAATCGTTGTTATGTTTGAGCCCACTGTTGCTGCCACTGTACCAATCCCTCTCGTTGGGGGTCCTCTGTTTCACGGACCCTCCATGTTACCAAGCATGATGTCCTTCTCCAGAAACTGGGTTCCTCCTGATAACATGCCTGAAGTATGAGAGACCAAGTCTGGCCATCCAGACTTCTAAGATAACTCTGCTCACTGGAGGTCCGACACATCAATAAACTAAGTGAAAATTGTCTTGCCTGTTTTTTTAAACAGGGAGCATGGTGGTTCTGTAGAATAAGTACTGGACTGGATTACTAACTCCAAGGTTGGTGGTTCAAACCCACCAAATGCTCTGTGGGAGAAAGATGAGAGACTTTCTGCTCCCGCAACACTGCACAGCCTTGGAAACCCTACACAGGCTCGTTATGAGTCAGAAACCACTCGATGGCACTTAATAACAGTATTTTAAACAGTTCTGTGTTTTCCCCTTTGACATTTCCACAATAATCAGGAAAAAAAAATTTTTTTTCATTGCGAGATTTTGCTGTGTCTTGGGTCAGTGACATATTTTTCTGTTTTCTCTTGAAGGACTTTTTAAAGCCTTGGGGGTTCCTCTTGGGAGTAAATAGGACAATAAGGTGCCATCAAGAAAAAAAAGTTGCTCAGAAACGTGGCTTGAATCAAAATATCTTAAAGTGCAGTATATTCTGGGGATAGTTTTCCTGGGAGGGAAAAAGAAACCCTTTGATCATCTGAGGCTTGAAACATAAGCTTGACCTCAGACATGAGCTCATTTCAGACATGGAGCTTATGAGGACATTGAAAAAAGTTCTAGTCCAAAGAATGGTAGCTGTGAGCTCTGCAGAATACCAAGGACAGGTAATAAATAAGAATGCTTTTAGCTATAGGTAGCAGAAAACCCAATTAATAATGGCTTAAACCCAACATTGGCAGTTCTCCTATGAAGCTGAGGTGATTGAGTTGAACCAGCAGGTGTTAGGTGGGTCTGATGAGATTCTCATGCTTTGAGTCTAGCCCAAGGTGCTGTTTCTTCTGGGAAGTTATGTCGTAACCAGCACTTAATCATTCTGCTAGAAGCCTTGACAATTCTTGGCCCTTTGTAGTTGGTCTTTACAGGGAATTCTTTCTTTTACATTTGTTTTTGGTGGAAATACACATAACAAGGCACCTACGCCTGTTCACCATGTTCTTCACAGATACTGTCCGTGATACTGGCAGTTCTTCCCACTGTGTTACCATTTTCATGCTTTCTACCCATATATTGCTTCCCCCCACCCCCCGTCCCCCCAGTAACTGACACTCTGGAGGGAATTCTTTGGAGTCACTTACCTGTAGCCATACCGGACATGTTTCTGATGGCTGAATTCCTTTGTAGAATGAAGCTCCGTATGACAGAGGGAAAGCAGGCTCTCAGGTGGGACAGGAAGGTCATGATACACCTTTAAATGAGCTGCAGAGCCTTTGGGTGAGGGAAGAAAAGGGAAGGAGACAAATGAGAAATGCCGAAGGTGCAGTTTCTGTGTGGGATAGTCCAGTTCTGTGTAGGATGCTAACCTCCGGGCAGTTCTGGCCATGCTCTGAGCATGGATGGGGGGTCAGGGGCAGACTCCCCAATAAGCAAGGTAAACACAGCTTACTTGTGTTTACTTACTAATCTGTGGTGGTCACATGGTTTCACTAATCTGGTGAAAAATTAGTGAAAATTCACTAATCTGGTGAAAAACATGTGGCACGATTCACTACAGATTAGCAACAAAGCATGACTAAGCCTGTGCTTACTTGATACTTCATCTTCATCTGGGATTGTAAATTTGAAAAGAGGTTTTTATTTTTCAGTAATTCCTGTGGGTTTGAGAGAAAGACAGCTACTAGTCAGATGTACAAGCAGAATCTTTGATGTAGAGTGAAAAAATGTGAACTTGTTCACTACAGATTAGTAAGTAAGCTGTGCCTACCTTGCTTATTGGTTTATCTGGCACTGGGAGTGTTTCTTGAGCAGTTTTCCCAGTTACATCTTAGTTTCTAACAAGAAATTCTTTACTTTTGCTCATGCCCTTCTCTTGACCTGGAATGTCCTTCCTTCCTTCCCAGCTAGAGATTGGACAGGCCATTCAGAGCCCACTTCAGTATCTACTGCCCCTTTGAAGAGGCCAATAGGCTTGGGTCCCCTTTCACCCAGAGATTTTGGCCTGGAGTTCTCATTGGCCTGGAAGTCTACCTCACTCAGAACTTCCTCTCTCCTTGAGTGACCTGAGGCCCTTGAGGGAGAAACATTTCTTTGGCTTCTCACACAGGCTCCAGAGCACTTAACACATGCTGTACACATAGCAAGTGCCAGAAAAATGCATGATCAAATGAACCAATGAATAAGCACCACTTGTAATGACAAATGAAATACCAGTCCGGGTTTCTGTCTACAACTGACTTGTGTTACTTAGATTTAAGTCCCCAGGAAGTAGGGGTTTTATGCTTTCTTCTTTACATCTCCCACCACAACCAAGGCTATTACTGTAAGCAGGTTCCTTAAACAGATTTTTGGTGCATATATGTATAAATGAATATTGTGATTTTTCTTAAAAGAGATGATCTCAAAGTTGTAAGAAATTACTATCAGAAAACGATCCTATGAATGAATATTTTGTACTCTAGAAAAGGAAGTTTCAATGTGTAAGCAAAAAATTAGGGCTAGAGAACAACTTGTACCACGCATCTGTCAGTTTGTCGTATTGTGTTGCTGTGATGGTGGGAGCTATGCCACTGGTATTTGAAATTCCAGCAGGGTCACCCATGGTGGATGGTTTCAGTAGAGCTTTTACACTAAGATAGACTAGGAAGCAGGAGAGGCAGACAACTTCTTAAAGGTCAGCCACTGAAAACTTTATGAATAGCTGTGAAGCACTACCTGATATAGTTAGTGCCTGAATATGAACCCCTCAGGTTGGAAGGCTCTCAAAATAGGACTAGGGAAGAGCTGCCTCCTCAAGGTAGAGTTGACCTTAATGATGTGGATGGAGCAAAGCTTTCTGAACCTTCATTTGCTGATGGGGCACAACTCAAAGTGAGAAGAAACAGCTGCAAACATCCATGAATAATTGGAACATGAATCTCAAGACCTGTCTTGAAGTACAATGCTGTCTGTGATAAGATGCTATTTATACAAGACTACAGGGAAGAACAGTTAATAGCATTATTATTCAAATTTGTGGACCAATCACTAAAGCCAGTGATGATGAAATTGAAGAGTCCTACCAGCTTCTTCAGAGTCCTGGTATGGCACTGTGGGTTAATGCGCTGGACAGCAAAGTCGTTTGAACTGCAAGATCAGCAGTTCAAGCTCACCAGCCTCTCCTCAGAAACCATACACAGGGTCATTTTGGGTCATAACCGACTCGATGGCACTTAACAACAACAACCAACTCCTTCAGTCTAAAATTGATTAAAATAAATAAATAAATAACCAAGATTCATTGATAATTTCTGGTAATTGGAATGCAAAAGTTGGAAACAAAGAGAAAGGATCAGTAGCTGGAAAATATGGTCTTGATGATTAAAATTATGCTAGATATCACATGATAGAATTTTGCAATGCCAATGACTTAATAATTGGAATACCTTCTTTCAATTATAAACATGGACCTCAACAGATGGAATAGACAAGAATCAAACTGAATATATCTGTGGGAAGAGATGATGGTGAAGCTCAGTATCATCAACCAAAACAAGACAAGGGACAAATGGAGGAATGGACTGTCAATTCCTTGTAGACAAGTTCAGGGTGGGGCTGAAGAAAATTAAAACAAGTCCACAAGAGCCAAAATATGACCTTGAATATGTCTCAACTTGACACCATCTCAAGAACAGATTTTCTGCATTAGACACTAATGACCAAGGACCACAGGAGAGTGGGATGATATCAAGAACATCATATATATGAAGAAAGAAAAAGGTCATTTAAAAAACAAGAAAGAAAAGACCAAAATGGATATCAGAAGAGACTCTAAAACTTTCTCTTGAATGAAGAGTAGCTAAAGTGACTAGAAAAAAATAAGGAAGAAACAGAACAGAAAATTTCCAAGGGCAGCTTGAGAAGACCAAGTATTATAATATAACATGCAAAGACTTAGAATTTGTAAACAAACAAGGAAGAACATGTTCAACCTTTCTCAAGCTGAAAGAATCGAAGAAAAAATTTAAGCCTCTAGTTGAAATATTGAAGAATTCTATGGGCAAAATGTGACTGTCCCTGGAAATATAAAAAGAAGATGGAAGAATTACAAAGAGTCACTATACCAAAAAGAATTGGACAATGTGCAATCATTTCAAAAGACACCATATGATCAAGAACCAATGGTATTGAAGGAAAAAGTCCAATGTGCACTGAAGACACTGGTGAAAAGCAAGGCTCCAAGAATTGATTAATAGAAATTGAAATGTTTCAACAACCTGACACAGAACTGGAGACATTCACTTGTCTGTGTCAAGAAACTTGGAAGACAGCTTCCTGGCCAACTGATTGGAAGAGATCCATATTTATGCTCCTTTCAAAGAAAGGTGACCCAACAGAATGTGGAAATCATAAAACAATATCATTAGCATCACCTGTAAGTAAAGTTTTGCTGAAAATAATTAAGTAATGGCTGCAACAGTACATTGACAGGGAACTGCCAGGAATTCAAACTGGATTCAGAAGAGGACTTGGAACAAAGGATATCATTGCTGATGACAGATACACCTTGGCTAAAAAGCAGACAATGCCAGAAAGATGTTTACTTGTGCTTTATTAACTATGCAAACACATTCAACTGTGTGGAACCTAACAAACTATGAGTAACATTACAAAGATAGATATTCCAGAAAAAAAAAAAAAAAAAGATAGATATTCCAGAACACTTAATTCCTCTGTACATAGACCAAGATACAGTTGTTCAAACAGAAAAAAGGGAACACTGAATGGTTTAAAATTAGGAAAGGTGTTCTTCATGATTGGATCATTTCACCATATTTATTCAATTTGTATACTGAGCAAATAATCTTCATATGTTATATGAAGAAGAATATAGCCTCAGGATTGAAGGAAGAGTCATTAGCAACCTTAATATACAGATGACATACCTTGTTTGCTAAAAGCTCAGAGGACTTGAAATACTTACTGATAAGGATCAAAGACTTCAGTATAGATTACATCTCAATGTGAAGAAAACAAAGACCCTCATAACTGGACCAATAAGTAGCATCATGACAGATGGAGAATAAATTAAAGTTGTCCAAGAGTTCAATTTTCTTGGAAACACAGCAATGCTTGTGGAAGCAGCAGTCAAGAAATCAAACAATGTATTGCATTAGACAAATCTGCTGCAAAAGACCTCTCTAAAGTATTCAAGAACAAACATGTTAGTTTGAACACTAAGAGAATTTGACTCAAGCCATGGTATTTTCAATGGCCTTAAATGCATATGAAAATTGGAAAGTAAATAAGAAAGACTATAGCATAGTGGCTATGAATAGGGTTGAGAACTGCAAGGTCAGCAGTTCGAAACTACCAGCTATTCTGCAGGAGAAAGATGAGGTGTTCTGCTTCCGTAAAGATTTACAGCCTCGGAAACCCTGTACAGAGTCACTATGAGTTGGAACCGACTCCATGGCACATAACAACAACATAGAAGAGTTGATACATTTGAATTATGGTACTGGAGAAGAATATTAAAATTACCATGGACTTTCAGAAGAACGTCTTGGAAGAAGCGTAGTCAGAATGTTCCTTAGAAGTGAGGATGGCGAAACTTCATGTCTCATACTTTGAACATGTTATCAAGGAGGAACCAGTCCTTCGAGAAGATATGCTTGGCAAAGTGGAGGGTCAGCAAAAAAAGAAGACCCTCAAAAAGATGGATTCACACAGTGGCTTCAACGATGGGCTCAAACAATTCTGAGGCTGGCACAGGAATGGGCAGTGTTTTGTTCTGGTGTGCATAAGCTTGCTATGAGTTATAACCAACTGGACAGCACCTAATAATTAACAACAGAAGGCAATTGGCATAGTTCACAAAGACATACATCCTACAATGATGAGTATCGGCTAGGGTATTAACAGCTAGCGAGCAGCAATTTAAGATGGTCTCTCCCTGTTTGGTATAAGGAAGAATGAAAAAAATCAAAGACTCAAGGAAACAATGAGTCCAAAGAACTAATGAACCACATAAACTACAGTCTCAGGAACCTGGGAGACAGCAGAACTAGATGGTACTCAGCTACTGATGCTGGCTGCTCTCAGCTCTTGATTAGTGCCATAAAAGGTCCTGGACAGAATAGGAGAAAAGTATCGAACAAAGTTCAAAATCATAAAGCAAACCAGAACTCCTTGTCTGATAGAGACTGTGGTTCTTGTACATCCTTCAAAGCTGGAACTGAACCCACTACCATGGATCACCTTCC